ATTTGCCAATTTGACAATTTCACGGATGGACAGTTTGACAATTTGATAATATAACAATTCAACAATATAACAATACAATTTGACAATTTGACAATTCGACAATTCGACAATTTAACAATTTGACAATATAACAATTTGAAAATTTGACAATTTGACAATATAACAATTTGACAATATAACAATTTGACAATATAACAATTTGACAATATAACAATTTGACAATATAACAATTTGACAATATAACAATTTGACAATATAACAATTTGACAATATAACAATTTGACAATATAACAATTTGACAATATAACAATTTGACAATATAACAATTTGACAATATAACAATTTGACAATATAACAATTTGACAATATAACAATTTGACAATATAACAATTTGACAATATAACAATTTGACAATATAACAATTTGACAATATAACAATTTGACAATATAACAATTTGACAATATAACAATTTGACAATATAACAATTTGACAATTTGAAAATTTGACAATTTGACAATTCGACAATTTGACAATTGGACAATTGGTAAATTAGAAAACTGCAAGATTGAAAAATTAGAAAATTGGAAAAAAGAAAAAATGGAAAATTGGATAATTGGAACATTGGAAAACTGCAAAATTGAAAAATGAGAAAATTGTGAAAGTGAAAATGGAAAAGTGGAAAATTGCAAGATTGGAAAATTGAGAAATTAGAAAATTGAAACATTGGAAAATTGGAAAAATGGAAAAGGGAAGATTGGAAAATTGGAAAGTTGGAAAATTAGAAAATTGGAAAATTGCAAGATTGGAAAATTGAGAAATTAGAAAATTGAAACATTGGAAAATTGGGAAATCAGAAAATTGGAAAATTGAGGAAATGGAAAATTGGAAACTTATAAATTTAAATATTTAGAAATGCAAGAAATTGCAAATATGGCACTTAAAAAATAAGGTACTTGAGATTTAGAAGTATAGAAATGTACAAATTCAAAAACCCAGAAATTCAAAATTTGTAAATCACCCCATAAAAGTTCCAAATCTTCGTACAATTTTGTTCACCCCACTAAAACAGCTTCAACAAAAACAACACTAGAAACAAATATTCATCGAAACACATGATTCAAATTCAGCAAATTAACACAGGTCACACGATTCAAGTTTGAATTAATATTTATACGTATACATATAATCGCGCAACTGTCGCTATTTCGAGCTCAGCACCGCAATAAATAATCCATTGACCTTTAATCAAAATTCAACCAAACCAACCGCATCCAACATATCGCAGATAATTAAAGCATCGTACAACTATAATTGTCGACAGAGTCGAGGGAAGAAGTTTGTTGCCGTTAATATACCATTACAAACACCATGTCATCCGGTGAAGTAATAAACTACCTAACAAGCCATAACACCGCCTCTAATGTATGACTGCTAATGGAACGTGATTAACAACGGCTTTCTAACGAGATCGTGCGGTATACAGGAAACTTTCTAGCAAGTTTCATCCACAATTGATAATGTCCGAGGCTTTTCACCGCGTACCACATCCTTGTGAAAGAGTATTCCGTCGTTGGGTTGACGAAACTGTGGTCAGTAGCGTCAGAAGTTTCTAACTGGTTTGATTATGGTACATTCGGGTAACACGTTGCCTTCCTTTGGATAAATACACATACACGATCAAAGTATTTTAGTTCTCAAATTTTCGTAGACATAGGCTTTTGCATTTATCAAATTTCTGGGAACTTCAGAAATTCTGGATGTGTAAATCAAGTGTGACGATATTTAGATTTTTCAAATTTTCAAACTCTAAATTTATGCATTTTTTATGATTTTAAAAACTCCAAATCCTTAAACTCTTGTATTTCTAAATCTCTGAATTGCAGAATCCCTATATTTCAATATTTCCAGATGTCTGTACCTTTAAATACCTAGATTCCCATTTCCTTGCATTTCTAAAACTTACGTTCTACAAATTCCTGGATCCCTAAATTCCTAGATCTTCAAATTTCTAGATCTCCAAATTTCCGGAGTCCCAGATTCCTAAATTCCTAGAGCCCCAATTTCCCAAATCCCCAAATTCCTAGAGCTCCAAATTTCTAGATCTCCAAATCCCTTGATCCCCAAATCTCTAAATCCCCAAACCTCTAGATCCCCAAATCCCTAGATTCCCAAATTCCTAAATTCCCAAACCCTTAGATTCCCAAATTCCTAAATTCCCAAACCCTTAGATTCCCAAATTCCTAAATTCCCAAATCCTTAAATTCCCAAGTCCCTAAATTCCCAAATCCCTAAATTCCCAAATCCCTAAAATCCCAAAATCCCAAATTCCCCAAATCCCTAAATTCCCAAATCCCTAGATCCCCAAATCTCTAGATCCCCAAATCCCCAGATCCCCAAACTACTAAATTACCAAATCCTTAAATCCCCAAATCCCTAAATTTCCAAAATCCCCAAAATCCCCCGAACCCTAGATCTCCAAATCTCTATATCCCCAAATCCCTAGATCCCTAAATCCCTAAATCCCCAAATCCCCAAATCCCTAAATCCCTAGATCCCCAAATTTCTGAATCCCTAAATTCCCATATCCCCAAACTCCTAAATCTCCAAATCTCAATTTCCCTAAATCCCCAGCTTCGTTCCACTAAAATATCAATTTAAATTTCGAATTCCTAGATCCCCAAATTTCTGAATCCCTAAATTCCCATATCCCCAAACTCCTAAATCTCCAAATCTCAATTTCCCTAAATCCCCAGCTTCGTTCCACTAAAATATCAATTTAAATTTCAAATAAAATCTTCAAGAAAAATCATTATACCACAAGAAACCCATTTCTATAGACATATAAAAGTGACAGAAATTGATGAACATCAAACAATAATTCCATCTCAACATCAATTTGATCACCCATTACTCTTTGATTTCCCATAATCCACGCTTACACGGTTTATACGACAATAATGCGTTTTTTGCCCTAGTCTCCATAAAGATTTTACTGCGTCACATCGAAGAACCATTTATTTTTTCTCCTGTCGTTGTGCGACCGGAGCTTCGTTTCGTTTACGAGTATCCGAAAAAGCCACCGAACTTCCATTAAATTTCTCATTTATAGCAGCTTTATTACATCACGCGAAAGACGTATGTACGTTGTTACATGATCGCACATCCCTGCACCTTCGCGACATCCACCACGTAAATGACACGTGAGAATTAATCGAGCTCGTTATTCACGCTCGAGAGTCACCCTGCAGCAACTTTTGATAACCGGATGAAATGACAACGTATTTATATGCAACGCGATTCGTTAGCACCGTGGTCGCGATAATGAACATCATGATTAAACGGCGGATCATTAGTTTACGGAGCTTGTTACGTGAACTGGTAACTCAAATCGAGTAAGCGATCCTTTTCAATGAAAACATTCCGACATCTTATCCGCGGCGGCCATTTCGTGACGGCGGACACTGTAGAGTGAGGTTCACGTTTAACTCGTGGTGTCGGATTTATATTCGTGTGTTGTAATGATTCAAATGTTACATTACGAGTTTATGTGTTCTTAATGTTTATTCTTAATGTGTATTGATAATATTACAGGCATTATTAATGTATATTAATAGTATTAATCAAATTTGAAATTATTTTAAATTCTCAGATTCTCGAGTTTTTTCAAATTCTTACATTTATGAGTTAGTGAATTTTTAAATACTCAAGTTACAAATTTTTAAACTCCCAAGATACTAAATTCACAAATTTCTAAATTCCAAAATTATTAAATCCCCAAATTTCTACATTCTCAAATTACTGAATATTCAAATAACCAAATTACTAGAATACTAAATTTTCTAATTTCTGAATTATTGAGTTATTAAATCTCCAATTTTCTAAATTCCAAAATTCTTAAACTGTGAAGTTACTAAAACCCTAAATACTCAAGCCACCAAATTTCTAAATCCCCAAAATACTAAATCCTCAAATTTCTAAATTTCTAAGTTACTAAATCTCCAATTTCATAATTTCCAAAATTCCTATATACCTAAATTCCTGAATTGTGAAGTTACTAAAACCCTAAATACTCAAGTTACCAAAGTTCTAAATCCCCAAAATACTAAATCCTCAAATTTCTAAATTTCCAAGTTACTAAATCTCCAATTTCCTAATTTCCAAAATTCCTATATACCCAAATTCCTGAATTACGGAGTTACTAAAACCCTAAATACTCAAGTTACCAAATTTCTAAATCCCCAAAATACTAAATCCTCAAATTTCCAAATTTCCAAGTTACTAAATCACCAATTTTCTAAATCCCCAAATTTCCAAATTTCCAAATTACTAAATCCTCGAATTTCCAAATTACCTAGTTACTAAATCCCCCAATTTTCTAAATTTCCAAACTAGTGAATCCTCAAATTCCTAAATTCCCAAATTTCTCAGTTTCTAATTCCTTAAATCCCCAATTTCCTAAATTCCCCCTAAAAAATTGAACAACTGCGCACTGGACCTTTTCCATAAAAAATGAAACAAGTATATGCTGCATAAAACAAGGACACAAATACAATTAAAAAGAATGCTAGTCGCCACATATGGGCTCATCAATGTCATCACATATGAGCACATAAATGTGTACCAGTCATCACACATGACCTTACAAAACTGCACCACTCATATGATCTTATTAAAGTAATCTTGCCATACGAACTCACATAAAAAAGTACTATCTTTACATTATTATTTTTCTCTATTAAATCACACGAAACACTCACTATTATTTTTCTTTATTAAATCACACGAAACACGTATGTATCTCCAAAACTCACACATACTATATCGCACATATACGTTACCCCCGACATTATCCAATTTTCTTTCTCGCAAAGTGTGAAACAGATACTCCTCGTAAACCGAGACGCGAATGAAAATGCAAAACTGATGTTTCATGAAACTAGCATACAGTGTTTCAAGGTAGCCCGATATATCAACCCTTTATCCTCGTTTGTGCTTACAGATCGGTGTCTGGAAGTCCTGGGAGAAGGAGGGTCTGGACATCAAGGATATCGTCTGGCCTGGAAACACCCATACGCCTCCTCAAGGTGTGCCGGAGAAGTTTTATTTGAAAATAACCTTCCTGGAGGAGCCGCCGTACATCAATCTCGCACCCCCGGACCCTGTGAGCGGAAAATGTCTGATGGATCGCGGAGTTCACTGTCGAGTGGCCAAGGAGTCCGACATGGTCGGGTAAGTCGAAAATATTCTACAGCCCTTTTCTCTCGGAAATCTTTGCCGGTCAATGAAGCCCAACGGTCTTTCACAAGCTGTGAACACACCTTCGAACAGCTGATTTATTTTCTTCACCCTTTGTGAAGGGTTTCAAAGCGCTCTTATTAAGCGCCGGCGAAATTTTTGAACCCCTATTTGAAGCTTGGGGAAAATGGTACGTTTCGATTGTTAGATTGGAATGGAAGAATTGGATTATATGGTTTTGGGAGTTTGGGGTTTGGGGGTGTTTGAGTTTAGGTATTTGGGTATATTGGAATATGAGAATTTGATGATTAGGGAGTTTGGGAAGTTGAGAAAGTGGGAAAGTGGGAATATGGGCACTTAGGATTTGAGAATTAGGAGATTTGGGAATTTGAAAGTTTTGGAATTTGGGGTTTTAGGAATTTGAAGATTTGGAGATTTGGAAACTTAGAAATTTGAAAATTTTGAGACATTGTGAATGTGGAAACTTAGAAATTTGAGAATTTGGGAATTTGGGAATTTGGGAATTTGGGGATTTGGGGATTTGGGGATTTGGAGTTTTGGAAATTTGGAGACATTGTGAATATGGAAACTTAGAAATTTGAGAATTCGGAAATTTGGGAAATTGGGAATTTGGGAATTTGAAAATTTGAAAATTTGGGAAATTGGGAATTTGAACATTTGAAACTTGGGAATTTGGGAAACTTGTATATTTGGAAACTTGGGAATTATTAAATTTGAGAGTTTTGAGATTTGAGAGCTAGGAAACTTGAGAACTTAGGATTTTGGAGATTTAGTGACTTTGTAAATTTGCAAAATTGAGAATATGTGCATTTGGAAACTTGGGAATTTGGGTATTTAGGATGTTAAGAGTTACAAAATTTGAAAATTTTGGATTTAAAAAATGTAGGAATTTAAAAATTGAAAACTGAGAAAATTTAAGAACCTTAAAGCACAAATCTAAAAATATGAAAATTAAAATATTTCATAATTCAGAAACGAATAGCTACACAAATCTGAGTATTTAAAAATTTATGAATCATGGTATGAATATTTTGCAAAATTTCAATTTATTGTATTTACATAATAAAAGTAAATAATGATACATAACGTTTACAATGTATGTTACAGAATTATTGCGTTGATATACATATTTTCATGCAAGATTAAGAAGACAAAAATGGAATACAATTCTCGCAACCATTTTTGTATTCAAATTCGACGAAGAAACGTGTATCGTATTCTTAAATATTTCAGTGTTCTGAGTTTCACATACTGCGAATACAGTTTTCAAAATCTAATTTACTTCCTTCTTTCGGATCTTCTTGAAGTCTGGTAACATTTTTGAACTCGTAAGAAGCGAAGTCGGAAAGTTAAGTGTATTTGCATTAAAGACGGGATGCGTGCTCCATTTTTATATTCTTCTCGAACAATTTTTGACACTTTACTCTTTTGATAAAAATCATATCATTTGTAATAATTATTATCTTTTTTGAGGTGTCATAACGTAATAGAATTAATTTTTAAGTACAAATTATACAATGAAAGTGTGAAAGTAAAATTCATGTCCAGAAGTACAAAGTCCAAATTTGTGAATCTAATGAAACGCTTTCGATTCTAAAAAAAATTTT